TGCGAGAGAGAGAGAGAGAGAGAGAGAGAGAGAGAGAGAGAGAGAGAGAGAGAGAGAGAGAGAGAGAGAGAGAGAGAGAGAGACCGACGAGGCATCCCGCTCGGAAGCAGCCGCGCCGCGCGTTTCCACATCGGCTGTATGGGGCCGAGAAATTAGTTGAAAGTGATGGGCGGGACCGAAAAGGGGGGGGGGTGCGGCAGGAGGGCTAAACGGGGCTCCCCGAGGTGAACCGAGCGACCGCGCTGCCTTTGGTGGCGGCGTGGCGGCCAAGGCGCGTGCCAGGAGGACGGCAGCCTCAAAGCCACCGAGCCACCAGCCGGCAGTTGTGGGTTCTGCAGAGCGTTGCAGGGCCTCCACTGCCCGCACTCCGCACGGCACCGCCAGACGAACGGAACGGTCGCGGACACCAGGGTGGAGGCACGGCGAGGCGCAGAGGGTTTTTTTGTGCTTTTCTCTACCTCGTTTCTTTGCCTGGACCCTGGACCGCGCGGCCCGCAACGCCCTCTTCACCTCGGCCCTGGGCATGAGAGGTCGCTAATGGGATTGTAGTTGGTGTGGTAGTCCTCTCGTGCTGCCTAGCCACGGCACGGCCACGGCGTCGCGCGTCAAGCGGCATGATACTCGCTTCTTTTTAAGTGGGCTGTGGCCTGCGTCGTGCTGCTGCATTGCCTTTACTAACCGAGTACTTGACGGCCGAGTGCCTGCGTCCCGCGGGGTCCGCGAATAGATGCAGCCCGCGCGTCATCCGCCATCGGCAGGCAGTCATGGCCCGCGAGCGCGCGAGCAGTGCCAGGCTGCGCGAGGACGCCTAATCCGCTCCTCTCCCTCCACTGCCAAGATAAGGCCCAATGCTCCGTCTCTCTCGCGCTCTTGGGGCGTGCCGTATGGATGCGAGAGAGAGAGAGAACAGAGCGATGACGAGGGCACTGTTCGGAATGAGGCTGCAGGCGGCTCGCGGCCCAGGACGCCGTCGAGAGGGTCGTGCCTGTCGACGCCGCCCCCGCACCCGACGGAGGAAGCGCACGTAGTGGGCGATGGAAGTGTTTTACGGGCCGTAACCCGGTGGCGGTGGCGGTGGCGCGGTGGCGCCCCCAGCTTCCTGCCGGGGTTGTCGACGGCGAGGGCAGCGCCTCCACTGTGGGAGGTCGCACGAGTGGCACGTCGTCGCACGCCGCGCCCACACATCGGGGGACAGTGCGTCGCGCGGCTCCACTGTAGGCCTCAAGAGTTCGGCGCGGTCACTGCCTGCGTCAGGTGCGAGGCGGCGAGGCGACGCGCTGCAGCACCTGCTGTCCCCCAGCGCGCGGCGCGCCAGGGACGGGGACGGGGTGGTGCTGCTCGTGGCTGTGGGCAAGCCGTGGGTTCGAACCTCGCCACCCGAGGGGCTCCATGTTTTTTGTTTGCTTCATTTTTCCATCCCGCGTCGGCGAAAGGCGCCGGCGCGGCCTAGCGGGCCGCGGAGCCGCGGACCTCGAAACGCGAAATTAAAATTAACCCGCAGAGTAATGAGGGCCCAGCCCGCTTTGGGCCTCTGGGCCGCGTTGACCTCTGCGCTCTAGGACTCCGGCACCGCCGGCAACGGGGTCTAAGCGTCCACATCCGCTCGGCCGCGTGGCGCTACACGCCGCGCTACAGGCACGAAACGACTAGGCGGCAAAGAAGCGCGTGGTCCGCCCCGTCCCGTCCTCGCGACCCGCGAGAGGCTGGGCGAGAGCGGGACGGTCGTGCCGTGGTGCCGTGACCCGCCAACCGGCCGGCGGACGTGGACCGGACCGGACCGGACCGTTCCCTGGACGTGGACGTGCAGAGCAGGCCGCAGCCGCCGCAGCGCAGAGCCCAGCAGTGCACCGCGGGGCGTGGGGCGGCGGGGCGGTGGCGCGGGGCGGGGCCTCGGGCTGGGCGGCCCCCGATTGGTCGAGCGCTCGGCCAACAGCGCCCCTCCCCGTGAGGCCGAGGCGGTCGAGGCCCCGGTGGGGGCCTTGTCGTACAGCCAGCGGGGTCCCCGCCTCCGCCGGTATCGCACCGACCGGCCGCCCCGCCCTGCCCCGCCACGCGGACTACTCGCTGCCTTTTTCGCGCGGTCGCCGATTTTCCTTTCTTCTCCTTTTTTCGTCGTGACGAAAAGCTTGGCTATGACTGAGAGAAACGGTCGCGGCTCCGCCTTGGCCGCCGCACTCCGACGTGCCTGACGAGCACGCCGGGGTTATTTGGAGTCCACGCCGACCACCTGGCACGCCTTTGGGCACGCCGCGCCCCGCGCCTCGCCTCGCCTCACCGCCACGGAGTCTGCCAGAAGGCTGCCGCGCCGCGCCGCGCCAAAGGCAGTGACAGCCCGGCCGCCTTTTTAGCAGGACCCAGTCAGGGGAATAGAAAGCTGCAGCTCGCACGCTCCCGTGTGGAACGAAAGTCTGTAAAGTTGTCGTAGTTTTGTCGTGATTCTCACGATGAATTAACATCAAATATACTTCGTAACTACGACGAAATAACGTCAAACTGAGCGTCAAACGCGTTTGGCGTTAAACAGCAGGTAAATTTGAAGTTTTTTTGTCGTTAAAGTGGTCCGTTTTACGTCAAAAAAACTTCAAAATGACGGTGGTCCATGGAGCAGCGAGCCAAAACAGAAGCCTACTCGCCGAGTATCGAACCGAGACCCTAGCCCACCAACGCGTTGGGGGATAAGTGTCGGAGTTCGAAGCCGCTCGGCCAAAGCGACTTGTGGCGGTCGGAGTGCATCGACGCGAACTGCTTCGCCTCGCGCTTCCCGCTCTCGCATTTTGTCGCAGCAACTTAGAGCACTTGATCTAAGTAACGCTACCTGGTTCCTGGTTTTCCAAGGAACTCCCTGGAAATCCCTTTACCATACGTTTCATGGGGAACCAGGAACCGTTTTTACCGTGCTGGAATGTGTTATGTAACACCAGCTGATTCAAACCCCAAGTAGCGTTACTTAGATCAAGTGCTCTAAGTTGCTGCGACAAAATGCGAGAGCGGGAAGCGCGAGGCGAAGCAGTTCGCGTCGATGCACTCCGACCGCCACAAGTCGCTTTGGCCGAGCGGCTTCGAACTCCGACACTTGTCCTCCAACGCGTTGGTGGGCTAGGGTCTCGGTTCGATACTCGGTGAGTAGGCTTCTGTTTTGGCTCGCTGCTCCATGGACCACCGTCATTTTGAAGTTTTTTTGACGTAAAACGGACCACTTTAACGACAAAAAAACTTCAAATTTACCTGCTGTTTAACGCCAAACGCGTTTGACGCTCAGTTTGACGTTATTTCGTCGTAGTTACGAAGTGTATTTGATGTTAATTCATCGTGAGAATCACGACAAAACTACGACAACTTTACAGACTTTCGTTCCACACGGGCTGTCTGCCCCAGGCTTGCTGGAGGCCGCGTCGCAGTGCCGCAGTGCCGCGGTGCGACAGCCTGTTTTACTTTTTATGGTTTTTTTTTTCTGGCTGTGGCTGCCCTGCGGGCTTTCCTGGGCTGGCCGGCTGACTGATGAGTGATTTCGTGCCCCCCCCCCCCTCCATGCTCGCGGTGGACAGCTTGATTCGCCCCGATTCCGTGAAGCGGCGTGGCCGGGCGATGCCTCGCTGTCGCACCGCGGAGTCACGCACTGTCACACTGCCTTTGGCTTGGCGTCGCCTGGCGTGCATTCCATAGCGCACGCAGCACGAAGCGCAGTCCGCCGTGACTTGAACCCAGCGCCGGATTGCACGCACGATGGTGGCCGCTCCATTTCGCGGTGGGCCCAAGGTATTTCGCCTCCAATTTTGCAGTTTTGGGGTGGCCGAGGTGACTGCCCCGAACCACGAGCTGGAAGCACCGTGCCGTGCCGGTCGTTGGCTGGCCCATCAGGCAGCGAGGAGGGTTAGGGCTCTATGGCCGGCCGGGCCATCATGCCAGCCAATGGGCTGTGAAGGACCGAAGGGAAGGGCCGAGGGCGCCGAGGGCCCGTGCAGCATCTTCCTTTCTTTTCTTCCTCTCTTTGTGATCGCGTGCCGCGCCGCCCCGCCCCGCCGCCATCGACACCGTCTTGGTCTCGGAGGCGATCGCTTCCTGCCGACGGCATGCCACCCCGGCCTGAGCCGAGGCCTGAGCCGCCGCGGCCCCCATTCCGAACGCTGTCGCTGTCTCTCTCGCACTCGTGGGCCGGGCCGGTCCGTACCTGTGCGAGCGACGGAGACGGGGCGCTTGAGGCGCCGGCGCCGCCGGCTGTGCCGTCGCAACCAGGAACGCCTGGCGCTTCTGCAGTCCCGCAGCACAGGGCCGCAGCACAGGGCCGCGCGGCGGGACTGCCTACCCGCACGCCGTAAGGCGCCATGGCCATGCCGCCTGGAGGGCAGGCCGACCCGCCGCACAGCCGTGCGTTACGGGACAGAGACAGAGTTCTCGCTTTTGGTTGGCTGCTGGCCGTGCTGGCGTGCCTCCATTGGTTGGCTGGTGCCGAGTCGTGTCGAATTTTATTGAAAGTTGGCCGTCGCGCCCCGCCGCGCCGCGGCCACAAAAAGAGGCGGCAGTCGCGGTGCTCCGCGCCCCGCCCCGCCCCGCCCCGCGTGCTCGGTGGGCTGAGACGCGGCGTCGCGGAGGCTAGGCGCAGCGCGCAGCGAGGCGCCGGGAGGGGCGGCGGCTAGGCGTCGCGCGGTGGCGGGGCGTCGCGAGGCGTCGCGGGGCGTCGCGGCCAGGCGCCTCAGTGCTGGAGCAGGGGGCTGCGCGGGCGGATGTCGAGGCCCCCCTGGGCGATCTTGTCGTGCATGTGCACGCGCGTGTGTGACACCTGTGTGACGGAGGCCGCCGCATGCACCTTGCCGTCGGCCCGGCCGCACCCCGATGGTGGTCGTCGTGGGGGCCCTCGCCCAAGGGCCAAGCCGGCGGCCACCCCGACGGCAGAATGTACTGCGCCCCCACCCCGCGGCTGTGCAGTAAGGGCGATTCGGGCAGTGTGTGTGCGTGTGTGGCTGTGTTGGCGAAGCCTGACCCCGGCTGTTTGTGTTTTTCAGGTGGTTACGGGCACATGCGCAGCCCCGACTGCAGGGATGAAGCCACCCCGCCGCCCAGCAGTCACTCGTTCCTCCACCTTAGGAATACCGCCATGTACCCCGTCAAGACGGAAGGTGAGTCAACCGGTGCTCTTTCGTTTTGTTTATTTCGTCTATGTGGCCACGGCCTCGCTGGACCCAAGTCTTGCACTGCAGAGTGGCCCTGTATTTTCTCGCTTTCTCGCTCCCTTCCGCGATTTTGCTTCCCGTTTACTGTGGGAGTCGGTTTGTGAACGGCGCGCTGTGTTGCAGGTTATGGCAGCCACCTCCCCGCGGACGGCGGCATGCAGCAGATGGGGCTGGGCGGCGGCGGGGCGGGGGAGACGACGGGCCCCGACGAAGGCCCCGTCAGCTACGTCGTGCCCCCTGCGCAGCCCCCGCAGTCCGCCTCCACCAACGCCCCCCAGAGCACGGGGACGGGCCCCACCCCGCAGCTACCCTACGAGCGGTCCGAGAGCGAGTTCCACTCGCTAGACGGCAGCCACCACCAGTCCGGCTACATGGACTCGAGTCCGGAACTGTACTCACACCAAAGCCTCCAGGACCAGAAGTACCACGTACAAAACTACCACAAGTCTTATCCCAGAGGTGAGTTCCACTTTCCGCGTGGTACACGCGGTGACACCCGGCGCACCTGGGGCACCTGCCCGACGGGGATTTCACAATCGCGGGGGAGGGGGGGGGGCGTTCCGAACGAGGAGGGGAAGCATTGCGACACTCGCGGCCCACGCCTTCCCTCCTGTCTTCCTGCACACACACACCAACACACTCGCAGTGGCCCTGAAAGACGCGGTAAATGCGGGGAACAGCGTGTACTGCACCTGTAGCTGTAATCGAGTGCGGCGAAACTGAGTGCTCTTGGGCTTGAAAGAAGGAGCGGGCTGGGGGTCGCGTTCGAACCTGAGGCAAGTTCGTGGGTGCGCGCGGCAAGTCGAGTCAGTCGAGGCGCGGCGGCACTCCCGGACGCAGCCCGGGTGATTGTTATGCGTGGCCAGGCAAGGCAGGCAAGCCAGGCAGACCGGGGTCCCTGGCTGGGCCGGGCTGGGCCGGGCTGGGCCGGGCTGGGCCAAGCAGGGCAGCGCAGTGGCACCCTCGTGGTTCCCACGTACGTCGCACGTCCAACACACGGGGATAAGAGCCCTCGTTGACCCCCCTCCCCCACCGCTCCCCCACCCACCGCACCCACCCGCCAACCGACGCGCACCTGACACCCGCGCGCGGCGGCGGCACGGCACGGCGCGGCACGGCGCGACCACCCGTTGATTTACCGGCAGCACGCAAGCCGAAGGCAAGTGTCCGCGGCCTAATACGTTTCCCACGATGGCCCGCATGGCCGCGCGGCCCGCCCGGCCCGCCCGGCCGGGCTCTGGCCCACCGCCCACCGCAGGGACGGCCGGGACCACGTGCAACCCATCAAGTCGCAAGCGGCCGCACAGAGTTGGGTACATTGTCACATGCTAGCAACGGCCACCAAATTTAAGCAGCGGCGTTCAATTGAAACGTGATCGATTTGCAGTGGTTCTCTGTCCCCATTCCCTCGCTCTGGTGAGGAACACTTTTGTTTCTTTCAGTGTCGCCTCTAACTAAGTACAACTGCAAAGCTTGACGCCCCGCGGAGGGGCAGAGGGGGACGAGGACGCCACTGCTTTCTCGGAAAGTAAGGAATTGACTGGTATGGGCTAAGGCTCCGCTAAGGCTGCGGGCGCGGGCAACCACCGGAAACACGAAACAGGGGGGATGCCCGGAATAAAATTATGCTAATGACTGGAATGGTTCGAATCTGGCAAGACCGAAAGCCGGAATGCGTTGACACGGTTGACACCGTCTTGCACGACTGCCGCTCGACGCAGCGCGGCCCATCGCTTCCAAGTTGTTGAACTTGTTGTTGTTGCCGAGGTTGACGTTGTTGTTGTTTGTTGCAGCGCGCTACCAGGACGGGTACGACTCGTACAGCTCCCACTACGACGCCTCGCCCTTCCAGACCGTGCCCAACGGCGTCGGGGGCGTAGGCGCCACCGGGACCGGGGCCTCCCCCGCCACGGGGACCGGCGCCGACCACTGGGGCAGCGCCGAGTCGGCCGCAGACCTGCACCCCGCGTTCCTGCACCACGGCCACCCCGGGCTGTCCGCCCTCCGGGACCCTCTGAGGGACACTCTGAGGGACCCGCTGAGGGACCCCCTCCGGGACTCGATGCGGGAGTCCATGCGGGACCCGTTCGGCATCGGCCCCGCGCAGGACATGAAGCCCATGCTGCAGTCGTCCATGCTGGCGGGCTACGGCGGCATCAACGAGAACCCAGGTGAGTCCAGCTCCAGGATCGCTCTTCGTTCATTCATTCATTTTTAAGAAAGGCTTACATAAATTACAAAACAAAAATGATTTTTTTTTTTTTAAGTGCCTGGAAAGGAGATGTTTCCCATTTAGATAAGTGTTGTAGAATCCAACTTGATGAGAATCGTCTTGGTGTTTCAGGAAGCGGACCGTGCTTCACGGGCTCCGGGCCGATCCAGCTCTGGCAGTTCCTTCTGGAGCTGCTCACGGACAAGTCCTGCCAGAGCTTCATCTCCTGGACTGGAGACGGATGGGAGTTCAAACTCACTGACCCCGACGAAGTGGCACGCCGCTGGGGCATTCGAAAGAACAAACCCAAAATGAACTATGAGAAGCTCAGCCGAGGACTGCGGTACTATTATGATAAAAATATTATTCATAAGACTTCTGGCAAGCGGTACGTGTACCGCTTTGTGTGCGATCTTCAAACGTTACTTGGGTAAGTCCATTTGTTAAACTATTTAGCTCTTTTGCAAAGTAACAAATAAAAATTGTTTTTATTTTTTCACCTTCACTAACCATAATGTGTCTTCTTTTGTTTCAGGTATTCTCCTGAGGAGCTTCATGCTATGGTTGATGTAAAGGCTGACAACAGAGATGATGATTAGTATTTTGTTGACTTTGCGTTAAAAAGACTTCACTCATCCAACATTGTGATTTTTTATTGATTCAGACTGCCAGCTTTCTAGCTGCTGGCGTATTTGTGGAAGTAATCCAGGCTTTTTTTAGAGGCTTGAATTGTTTCCCTGTCATTGTAATTATTACCTCCTATGGTCATTGTGCACACTTTAGTTGAATATTTTCACATCATGATTTTGTAATTATTTTTTTTTTATTATACTATGAAAGACAATGAGACTTGATATCTGTTATGGCAAATTGGTTGTTTAAATTCGTTGCTAGATGTCTGCTCTCTGCTGGCCTGAGCTAAATTAATTTTTTTAATGTATTTGGCTCATTCTCATTTTTGTGATCTTGAGAGCTTAAAAATTTCGGTTTACTATAGGACATTAAAGTGAACTTTATTTGTGATTGAGATTATTTCCTTTGTTTTGTCCTATTGCTCTCCAAGCTTAATATGTATGAGTGTTTGTATTATAGACACAATGTTGGCTGTAAGATGAAAAATTGGACTTGTTGGATCCTGTGTGTAAATGGTATGATAACTGTACTGTAGTGTTATGAAGTTTGTTTGTAACTTCAATAATCATTGTTACAATAATTGCAATACAGAGTATTATGTTTTGCTAATGTGTTTTAAAAGTACCAAACTCTTTTATAATAAAATATGAACATATTCTATATGTTATTAAAAAATAAAGAAAGTTTCTGTTGTATCATACTTCATACCTTCATCCACATTGTTTCTGTTACCATTTCTGTGCATCAAATACAAATCATTTTCGAAGTGATGTGAAACATTTCAAAGAAAATGTTTTTATCATAAATTATTTACGACATGTTACAATTATAAAATAAAGACAATTCTGACATAACTTGGACTACTACTAAATCCCTCCCTTCAAATTAATGCTCAAGAAGTGCATAGATAAGAATTCAATTCTCTATACCTTTTTTTTTAAGATTTGAAAAGCTGTAATGACACGATAAAGTATTAGACTACATCAGTCATCAAATATAATAGCTGAGTAGATTGATCCTTCCAGACACAGCCGTGCATGTGTTCTTGAAAGCAATTATTTTAAAGTAAGGGTAACAAGAGCACACAGCTGGCAAAATTGTAAAATAATTTGCAACTCTCCCATCAAGAGGGGAAAACACTCCGTCATTGGCGGGTAACTGCGATCAAGAGTTGCGCCACTTTGCATTCTTCTATGCACTCATTTTTTTTTCACTGTTGAAATCACAAACAACTAAAGAACCTCTAACGAGAGTTGAGCGCATGTAGCACATGCAGTCCGGACGATACGAACGGCGCGCCCTGGGTGTGGGTGTGTTCACAATGCACGTGTGACCGTCATTGACCACCATCGGTCGTCGGTCGGTCGCCGTCGCCATCTTTCTTCATTGCAGAAGCTAGCAGCTGAGCCGTAAGATAACCTTCAGAAAGCAACTGCATCTTTTGCAAGGTATGTTATGCCTTCGAACTTTCTTAACTGTTCCCAAATGTCTTGATTTTGCGACTTTTTTCCTAGTCTCAAACAATTTCAGTTTAGTGGAGCACGTCACGAAGTTTTTGTAGTTTCATAGTGAACTTCGTGGAATGGGGAGTCTGCCCCTTTTTCTTCCTCGTTTTTATTCAATTTAGCCGGTTTTGCTCTTCGTATTAAAATTGGAAACTTCATTGGTGGCTGTCACGAACTATGCTTTTTGTTTTGTTTGACGAAGTTGGCCTATGAAGTGTCCGGAGCATTGTGCAGGTTATGTTCCCTTGCAAAAGTCACTTTGTCTATCTAATTTGTTGAAAGTTTCTTGCTTATCTCACGAAAAGTTGAACAGCCGCACCGAGTCTATTCATATTTTGTCATTTCTTGCCACGTTTTTCCCCTGAAATTGGTTTGGTCTACACTGTCATTCTGTGTGTGTTGCTCTTGTATTTTGACCTATTATTCTTCATTTAACATGTTTTCATAAGCAATTGATCGTTTTTTATTTAGTGACGTTCTTTGTGAATTTTAATTTTGTCTTTATTTGTTTTACAGATGGTGCTCACCCACGTACTTGTCAGTGCCCGCCAAGTTCCGGCTGTTCTGAGGAGGAACTTCGGCATTTGCGTGCCTGCTGCTCAGAAGGCATCTGATCCCATCCAACAGTTATTTGTTGATAAAATTAGAGAATACAAGTCAAAGAGCACGTATGTGTACACTTTTTATCTAACCTTAATTGCAAACTTAGTATGCAGTAATCGGGCTTGTACAGTGTACTTTATTGTGGTTTACTTTTCTTACTTTAGTGGTGGAAAAATGGTGGAAGCGACCCCAGAAATCCAGAAAGAGCTGGCAGCTGAACTGGAGCGAGTTCAAAAGACCTACGGTTTTGCAGCAGGAGCCAACGTGCAAGATTTGCCCCCCATGAAATTCCAAGGTATAGTTAATTTTTGTTGTTATACAGGTTCAACATCAATAACTTCTGTTTCAGCCTATTTTCTATTGTCACATTTACATTAATGTGTATTTTATGTTGAGTTACTTCTTTGGAGAGCATTGGATGAAAAAGTGTACTCATTAATTTCTCCCTTATGTTCCAGACCCTGACCTGAAGGAGGTGGTTTAGACGTCACCTTTGCCACATTCAAACTACCTTTGGAAGATGTGCTGTTTTGTGACTGTAATTTGATTGTTGAGACATTGCCTACTGTTACAATGTCCTCTGTAAAAGCACCTTGTAGAGTACCACCATTGTAAATAAATCTAAGCCTACCAAGACTCGGTCATTATTATTACAACCACTTCCCCCTTTTGAAGTTTTTGAAGTTTCTCTGAGGCCTCAGTGGTCAGTGTATATATACCATTTTAGATTCAATGAGACTTGCCAAAAGGGAAGACCAAATAAGTTTCCTTGTGCTTGCACATGGGTTTCAATTACGGTCGATTCGCCAACATTTATCTGTCCTCACTACTTTTTTCCCTCAGACAATGGAGTATGACAATTGATGACAATGATTAGAATCCGAGAGAAGAATTGACGAAGTTTGCCTGATTTAAACATCTGACTGCCTATAGTGACCTGAGGTACCAGTCATCCTGCGAATACAACAGTTTTACTTCACGTTGCGATTGCGGTTCGTCTATAGCAGACGCCCTCGTTCCTCCCACTTTCCAATTTATTTTGGGTTGATTGATATAAATGTATAGTCAGAGCCGAGGCGGCGTGCAGAACACGTGAATTTGTCAGTAATCTGTCTGCCGATGGCCAAGTCGTCTTTCAGGTAAAGTCTATGCGACTGGATTTGATGACTAATAGCTTGCAGCTACTTGGGTACTAAACCTACTTTGTTTATTCTTAACACAAGTTGTCAGCATTCTTGGTTAAAGAAGATGCTGTCAACTGTAATGTTAATATTATATTTCATTGTCTGCTTCTATCTGTTCTTCGTTTTTAAAATTTATTTTGTATTCCAGTAAGGTAGATGAATATGGATTTGAACGAGCAGCAGATTTTGATTATGAGTCATATGAGGAATACATGTCGCAGTATTTGCCAATACTTGCTAGACGGGCTCGCAAATGGGCACGGCTGATGGGAAACCCAAATTCATTAAAGCGTGGTCCAGTTATCAAACGCTTCATGAGAAAAGGAGTACCCGCTGAACATCGTGCAGAGGTAGTTTTACTTATAGTTGCTGTGAAGAAATTTAGCTGCTGAACAAGAATGTTAAGATATTTTTTTCTATGCAAAGGTATGGCTTTGGGCCAGTGGAGCAACTCAGCTACAGGAAAAAATGGGCCCAAACCTTTATAGAGAATTATTAGAAGAAACACACGACATTGATGTCGTAAGCACAATTCGAACTGATCTGCCTAGAACATTTCCAGACAACATATTTTTCAATCAAGGTGATCAAAGTGAGCATCGAAATCAGCTTTTTAGGGTTCTTTGCGCATATGCACATCACAATGAACGAGTAGGTTACTGTCAGGTATGTTCTTTCAACTAAGCAATGTGGCTTTAATTCAGAGTTGTACCAGCAATCTTACTAATTTCACTTTTCCTTAACAGGGTCTGAACTATATTGCTGGCCTGCTGCTGCTTGTGACTAAGAGTGAAGAAAAGTCATTTTGGCTGTTGAAAGTTCTTGTAGAACAGATTTTGCCTGATTATTATGGACCTACCATGGAGGGTGTTATTGTTGACATTGACGTTTTAGGAGAGTTAATCAGGTAAACTGTTTTTCCCCCTCTATTTTATCACTTTAAAAAAAAAATTATGCTCAAATTATTAAAACATGTATGCGGTCTAGATTGAAGGCGCCAGCTATTCACCAACAGGTCACAGCTCTTGGATTACCTTGGCCAGTTGTCACCACAAAGTGGTTCATCTGCCTTTTTGCTGAAGTTCTTCCAGTTGAGGTGCGTCTATGTACATTCCCTTCCACTAATGAAGCAAATTAAGATAAGTATGTGTGAAATTTATGATAAAAATTGGCTTTTACAGACTGTGCTTCGAATTTGGGATTGCTTATTTTATGAAGGATCAAAGATCATTTTTCGTGTCTGCCTTACATTGATTAAAAGTCAAAGTAGCTCACTCCTGGCTTGCGATGACTTTGGAAGTTTGGCTGCAGCATTTAAATCTACAACAAGTGCTTCCAGTACCCTGAATTGTCATCAATTCATGAAGGTAGGAACCCAAATGCCCATCTTATTTCTGAAATGAAAACTATATATTAAATACCGTCATTGCATTCATATACATTACAGAGTATATTCCAAGTTCCTGGGTCCTTGTCCAGCAGTACTATTAGCACACTCAGGGAAAAAATATCACAAGATCGCCATAACAGCTAATATATGATGATCATTAATTCTTTTTGAATGGTCTCCATAAGGCTCCCATGCGTATTTGAATTTGTTGTAAATATGTCAACCTAATTGTTGTATATGGTAAAATGATAATTATTCTTATGAGGACAATCTTCAAGTTAGTTTCATCAGTGTGCCCATTGTTAAGTGATAACTTAGTGATAAACTTTAAAAATAGTGTGCATGCCACTTTGGAAATTCTGGGCATACATGCTATTATTTCCTTTGTGGGCCAAAGAGCAGGGTGTTCAAGCTTTTTTTTAAGCATAGCCTAAGATACAATAGTTGCAAGATGCAGACAATTATTTTGAGCAGCATCTCTGTATTTATTGTCACTTTTTAAATCAATCAGAAGAAAATCGCCTCTTGAATGTTTTGCCATAAATTTACTGACTGGTACATTGCTCAAACTTGATGCACATGTTAAATTTTTTAAATTGAGAACATGAGTTTGCTTTGATAATTTCTTCCTTTGTCTCCTTTTCTTTGTTAAGCTGGCCTTGTTTGGTCTGAGTTTCCAGTATTTAGCCTCTGTGATATCTCTCTAAACAAATATTAGTAATAAGCCTGTGATAAAATAATTGGATATGAAATATACCTGACATTTTGTAATCATCAGTGGTTTATTTATTCGCCTAAATCAAACAAGTTACATACCAGACAATAAACAAGAAGAAAATCTACCACCACTTTTTTGATTCTTGGGGCAATATTTGCCGTTTGAAAGGGAATTGAATTTCTTCAGACTGTTGATTATCCTGATGTTTAGTTAAAAGCTCCCAAGCTCTTAAGATAAAAGAGAAAAAAGTAGTCAAAATCTTTTTTTGCATGAAGGGTAATTTGAAACATTTAATTAAGTAACTTACACTCCACTGAATAAACCCCCAAGATGGCCAGCATGATCAAAGTAACTCCATCCTCTAATCACACCCATGAGATCCATGGCTGCTACTGATGTGAAGATCTAGAACAACATATTCTCATTAACACAGTAATCTATAGTTAAATATTCAAATATGGTAGTAGATATAGTCCAATCTTACCACTGGTCCAGGTATTTTCAAAAACGGCAAAAATATTATGTAGAATGAGTATTCTGGATGTCTGTACATAACCAATCCCAATAGACCTAAAATAGCACCTGACTGAAAACACATGTCGTTTAAAAGAGACAATGGGTCACAAACTAATTGAGAAGGACCAGAGGTCATAAAAGAAAACTTACAGCTCCAACAGATCCAGCAGTGAGACCTTTACAAGCCTGCACAGCAACACTTGCAAAACTAGCAGATACAGTTGAGAAAAGGTAGCAGCCCAGGAATCTATCCTTCCCTAATTCTGGTACCATAGCTATAGGAAGGAGGAAAGACATCCCAAAAAGTTTAATACATTGGTTTCTTACATTAAATTTTGGTTGTGTGCAACTTTGATTGGTACACCCGATATACAAAGGCTCATCGTGTATTCGGCATGTAGCGGGACTCACTTTCACATATATTGTGTAATATATACATATTGATTGCCAGATGGAGAGGTGCTATATGGGTGAATGCAGATGAGATTAACTGCACACATGACACTAACGAATTCCCTGAGAAAAACAATAATGTGATAAGGTCACTCAAAGTAACAGAATTGTCAGCGCATAAGCCAAGTTATAGTTTTCAATAGTTCAAAACAAATGAAATAATGAAATGAATGAAAATAGTAAATGGAAGAATTTTCTGCACTGACCTGTATTAGCCCTGTTAACAAAATATTTTTCCATAAAGGCTAATAGAGATGGGAACTGGGTAAAGAAAATACTCATTCTATAGGCAGAAAATACCAATACACAGGTTCCACATATAAGCCAATACACCTTGAATGAGTCTGGTTTAGAATGCCACCAACTGGAAATCTGTAAAAAGAAATCAGTTGACTCACGTACAGGCAAGATTACAAACCAAAAATCCAAATATGTTCATTTTACCGAATCTCCTCTATAATAAGACTGTGGTGATATCAACTTCCCCAAATACTGATTGCCAAAATAACATGCTGCACCAGTCTGAAATAAAAGTGATCAATAAGGTACAGTGGTATAACATTCCTGGCATCAAAATAGTCGTGAGCACAGAACTTACGCCAACTGTAAAGATGAATGGAATCTTTAGTTCTGATAAATTGCATTTTATCTCCGGCTTTTTCCTTGGTCTGAAAGCAGACCTATGCGCAGTTTTCCAGTGAACCTGATTTATTTTTGGAAAAATATTTGACTTTGAGGCTTGACCAAATAAACTGAAACACGTAACAACAAATCATGACACAAATTAAAATATTGAAATTGAAGTGACATTTGCTCTTAGCAGATTAAATGTTGCCTTGAAGTATGTGTTGGATTGAATGAAGAGAATGAGTTACCTAACATGGGTACTTCGACAAGCACCCAGCAGTACCAGCGATGATCGTAGGATCATTTTTGAGTTACACCAAAATTAAAAGAATAAACTATAAAGATCAAGTAAGATTGCTTTTTTCTAAAAGAGAAATAATTCTTGTAGAAGAGGTTAAGCCAACCACCGGTGCTGTCGTCTGTCGTCTGTTTATTTGTAGAGGGCGGTACTGTTGGGTAGTGCTTTCGGCGGTAAATTTGAATTCTGCTACCCTTTCAAAGTTATTTTTAGGGCAGAAGTCGAGATGAGTTTTCAAACACTGAGAGACAGACGGCTCCTGTATTGCGTGTGACAATGAAATACATGGAGGGCAGTGCGTAGGAACCAAACACATTTATTAAACACACTACCACAGTTGGACGACGTTCCGCCTGAGTCAGATTGAACGGTCAGAGCGGCTGGAAGTGCAGCGGCATGTCGTTGAGCACGGTGACCAGGAAGGACCTGGGGCACACTCGCAGCTCGGCCTCGGACTTGGGGGTCTCTGCGCAGGGCGACACGCGGAAGTTGAGGATGGTGCTCAGCAGTGCGGACTTGATGTTCATGTCTGCGAACCGGCTGCCTGCACAATCCCAACCAGAACAACGAAAAGTTAGTCGCCAGAAAAGGATTGACGCTGTGTTTGAAACTCGCAGCATCCTTACCGATGCAGGTCCTGGGCCCCGAGCCGAACGGCAAGTAGGCCAGCTTGTTGATGTTGTCGGCGTTCTCCGGCGCCCACCGCTCCGGGTCGAACTTGTCCGGGTCGGCGTAGTGCTCGGGGTCGCGGTGGATGGAGTACACCGGCACCATGACGACGGTGCCCTTCTCGATCTTGATGTCGCTGTCCGGCAGCACGTAGTCCTGGGTGGCCACGCGGTCCAGCCACGGCATCACCGGCCACAGCCGCAGCGTCTCTGCGAGGGAACCGAGACGTTCTAAAGCTCCGCCATGGCTCCGCCCCGCACGCCCACCGAGCCCTCAGGCAGGCAGCCTACCTTTGAACACCATGTCGAGGTACTTGAGGTCGTGCAAGGTCTCGTAGGTGATGTTGCCGCCGTCCGCGGTCTGGGCGGCACGCAGCTCGGCTCGCAGCTTGTCCTGGCACTCCGGGTGCCGAGCCAGCATCCACAGCGCCATCATGATGGTCTTGGCCGTCGTCTCGGAGCCAGCGACCTGCATGGTCATGACTTGGGCCTCGAACAGGTGCTGGGACACGTCTACGAGTGCGAAAAAACGACATTGTCATGGTACACTCTTTCTGCGAGCATTCCTGAGAGGCTGGACTCCGACTGGACAGTAGACATAGACTCCAGGCTCGAAAGAGTCCAGCCTCTCCAGCCACGGAATGCACCCTGCCGGGCCTTGCGTACCACCGCTGCGCTTGAGGCTCAGCAGGTTGTCGAAGATGTCCCGGCTCGCCGGTGGCTCCCTCTCGCGGAGCTGGCTCGACTCTCGCAGCAGGTCCTTGAGCAGGGTGGATCGCCACTCCTTGAGCAGGGGCACCTTGAGCGCGTGGTACAGGGCGGGGACGAACAAGAGGGCGAACGTGCTCAGGCCCTCGGCGAACTCGAAGCGGAACGACTCGGAGACGGCGTTCATGTAGGGGGACGGCTCCTTGGTGCGCATGGACCAGGCCTCGATGCCGAACGCGCAGGACGCGATCACGTCCACGCCGTAGCGGGTGCAGGGGCCGTTGGTGGAGAGCACGCCGTCTGGAAGCAGCGCGTCGGTGTCAACAAGCAGCGCCCCTCGGCGGCCTCGGCGGCATCGCACACAGCTGCACCTCCCCTACCTGGGCCGACGTTGCCGCGAATGCACTCCACCAGCTGCTCGCCCTTGTCCCTGATGCTGGGGAACATGGCCTTGAGGCGGCCCGAGCTGAAGGCCGGCGACACGCGCACGCGCATGTCCTTCCACTCGTCGTCCATCATGCAGAACAGGAACTTGCTGAACATCTTGTCGTAGTGCGGCTCGGGGCTGAGCTTGTGGTTCGGGAACAAGTGGAAGTCCTGCGGTGGATGGAGACAGCAAAAACAAATTTTCATTTATTGTTTTTTTTAGAGGGGGGAGCAAATGACTTGATGGAAAACCAGTGAACGCTGCAGACCTTGATAGTGATTCTCTTGACGGCGTCCAAGCTCTTCACCAGGAGGACGGGGCTGGGGCCGGCGTAGAGGCCGACGTACGGCTGGCCGGGGAAGTGGCGGTAGACGCGGTCCAGCATGCCGAAGATTGGCTCGCGCTGGAAGGCGGCCAGCATCGAGTTGCCGAACAGCGGCACGGGGGTGAGGTGCGGCACGCCCTTCTTGCGCCAGGTGCCGTAGCGCAGCGTGGAGGCCGCGGCCAGCACCGCCAGCAGCACCAGCACCACCACCAGCAGCGGCAGCAGCAGCGCCATGCCTGCGTTCCGAGAAAATCAACCATTTTTCCAGTGTCCCGGCAACAGGGGCACCCACTCACTCTCGAGGTGTTTTGGTGGGTTGCTATCAACCCACTTCGCGGTTTTCCAAGAATGAGACATGTGAGTGCAGCCGCTCGCGGCTCTGCTTCACCGACGGCCTGCAGACTGCTCCAGACAGCCCTTCATCCGAGGGGGTATGCGCTCTCTGAACCTGTGTACCGACTATTACGCTATTACGCTCTATTACGCCACAAATTGATCGGAATTTAGCTAAAAACGGCCTAAAACACACCAAAATTGATAATTTTTTTACGATTTCGGCTATTACGCGACTAATACGCGACTATTACGCGTATTATTACGCGTGCTATTACAGATAGAGTGAACCGACTATTACGCGAGTGCATACCCCCTCGCTCTAGAGGCTCCAAGTCGCAACCCCGCGAGACGCTTCATGGGTGCGTGAGGAAGACAGGGCAACGAAAGTGCTGTTCGGGATCAGTCTGCAGACGACGCAAGCCCTAGCAGCGCACCGCGCTTTACCTGAGAGGTTGGAACGGGTTTCGGCTTGCTGACCAAGTAACCCACCGGGCCGACCAAGGAGAATGGACCACTCGACACCAAAGAACCAAACAGCGCGCGCGCCGCAGAGGCACTGCCGCGGATCTCAGCCTCCGCGCGAGGTGGGCCGGCGTCTCCTGCAAATCATAACTTTTTTTTTTCGCTCCTTGTAGCTTCTTTCGCGGATGCTCAAAAACACCAGATTATTGGGTCGTCGGTGCAATTAGTTGAGTCTTCCCTCAGGCTGATTACGAACAACACAACGTCTCTCTCGCACTCATGGGGCGTCCCGTATGGGTGCGAGAGGGACGGAGCGGCAAAACGCAATCTGTCTGTGGGCGTCTGCATGGCGTGTCGACCGCGATATCGGCTAACTTGAACTTGACGTCTTGGGGGGGGGGGGGGTCTCCTTCACCATCAGGTCAGTGTTCAAGAGGAGGACCTGCGTGAAGAGCGGCCCGGTCGATTACGCTGCATGGATGTGATATAACATGGCGATCTGGCGATGGCCAGACACCTTTCATCTCCGAAGTGACCTTGAACACACTGTACTACACTGCCCGAGCTTACCTACCAGGATGCCGCAGCGAAGGCACACACTTGAAAGTCTGAACGGTCTGAAATTTTGGCCCAGCGCAGTGGTTTGCAAAATTTTGAAGTAGCGTGGTCAGGATAACCAGACATGGCAAAGACTGAAATCATTTCAGACCAAAAAGGTAAAAGTTTGGCGTGTTTTTGTATGCAGAGTGACTCACTCTTCTCGTTTGTTTCGTCTTGTCTGAACAACTCCTCAGAGACTCCGACTCTCTAGGTGATCGCATAACCGGCTCTGGCTCGCTGTTGTTCCAAGAGGGCTGAGGTTTATTTTTGTTTTTTGTTGGTTTTGTCTAGTAAAACGACTTTATTGTACATGATGAATTTACAACCGTAACAACTTTTTCCCCTCGTATACGCTATAGCGCGCGGAGAAGGGCATAATTGATTTCCGATTGAATAGGGTAAAGAGCACTTCACCGAGATTTGCAGTAGTTTTTTTTTTTAATTGCATGTGACAGTAGGAGAGCTAGGATATATGTTTATCTTACATAGGTTTGTATGAGAGCGTCCCCTTATAACTTCTCATTTGCGCCACATTATCCTCATTACTTTTCCAAAGTAATCTGTTCGCACTGAGTGTTTTTGGTGCGTGATGAGATTCCTGACCGTCCCCAGCAGCCACGTCTAGGGCCGGAGAGCCCCCTGGCCCAACTGACCTGACCGGAGACACCAACAAAGCGGAAAGTTGCCGATGACTTGCGCATCGTGCGCGAGAGAGGTTGCCTCGCATCCACCCACTCTGGCACCCATCTCGTGGGCGTTACGGAGGGGCCCAGCGCTGGATCGGCAACCCCTTCCCTCATGGCCGGGCCAGACCCCGGGAGACCGCTTCGCTAGGGTTTGCCGTGGCAAAACGGGTTGAGTTGTCCTTTTAGCGAGGCTACACCAGCCAGATGTTAAGTTTTGTAATTTTTATAGCTTGAGTTCTTCGTAAAGAAAATTAGACTGACCACCGAATGAACTGCTTGAGGCCAACATTTATTTCACACTAAGTCAAATCACATACAGAAAACAAAACACTATCGCCATACACACTTTTGCCAACTTAAATCGGACCAATGTAGCCAACACACAAAAATACAATAATAATTTTAACACGTCCCCTTGTTGGGTACATTTGAAAGTAATCACAAATCGAACAATCGACGAAACAATAAACAAAATTAAAGGATACCAAACACAATAATGACAAGATTAACATACATGTTAATTTAGGAAGAAATAATTTTTAGGAAAAGAAGCTAAGATGAATGTAAACAACACACAATAACAATTTAAAGAAAAAGAAGAAAGAGAAAAATAAAATAAAGAAAGAACAATTACACATATGGGAACACTTACGTTTGTAACAAGTTACAAGTTAGTACAATACACTACAGGAACACATAATCACAATGGCACATATTTATGGCAATCAAATTATTCTACATTTGGTAGATTATAGCATTGATTCAGTCTACTTCAGTCCCAGACTTCGGCACGAATTCAGATTGTTCTGGGCGGAGGTCAATACCTTGGTGAAGATGTCTGCACGATTCAGTTTTGACTTCACATACTTCAATTGTATGACTTTCTTGTTGACTAACTCTCTGATGTGGTGGTGCTTCACGTCGATATGTTTAGATCTTTCTGAAACTGAGAAATTTCCTGCTACACCAATTGCTCCTTGGTTGTCTACATGGATTGTGATTGGCAATTTGACAGAGTACTCAAATTGTAAATCTTTAAAAATTCCAGTTATCCATGTTACTTCTCGACACACATCACTGAGGGCTATGTATTCAGCCTCTACGGTGGACAGACTGACAGAAGTCTGTTTCTTGCTGCGCCAGCTGACTACTCCTCCTCCTAATGACAGGCAATAACCCGTAATGGATTTTCTGTCAGATTTGTCGTTTGCCCAGTCGGCATCAACATACACTTCTAGTTGTTGTCCTCTTGCTTGATATGCCAGCTTCCAGTCTTTGGTGCCCTTTAGGTATCTAAGGAGGTACCTCACTTCATCCCAATCCTTCCTAGATGGGTTCTGATTTTTCTGGCACAACTTATTTACTGCACATGCAATGTCCGGTCTTGAGTTGTTTGCTAGATGTAACAATGAGCCTGTAGCTGTCCTATAGAGCGACGACTTGAATGGCTTTTCTGTCTCTTGATTTTCCCCTTTTCTTGCAGGTGGGAGTTGCACTGAAACTTCTGGGGCTTTCTCTAAGCGAAACTGCTTGATTTTCTCTTCTATATACAGTGTTTGGTCTAAGTACACCTGACCATTTCCTCCTCTGGTGACTCTCATGGATAAAACGTTGCTGACGGGTCCTAAGTCCTTGGTCGAGTATTTTGCTCCAAACTTTTGCTTGAACCACTTTATCTTTTCAATGGTTCCAGTGATGTATGAGTCATCTACATAAACTCCAATCATTAGTCCTTTATCTTGGGAGATGTACAAACATGGGTCGTAATCAGATCTTTTCATTCCCAAATCTAGCATGGTTTTATTCAAGTCCTCATTCCAGTTCTTGCCGGACTGATGCAAACCATATATGCTCCGGTTTAGTTTGCAGACGTACCGTTCTGAATTTTTAATTTCAAAACCTGGTGGTTGCTCCATGTAGACTTCTTCTTCTATTTTGCTATTCAAGAATGCAGCATCTACATCCACATGATGTATTTCCCACTTCCTTTCAGCAGCAACAGCGAACATGCATCTTAATGTAGTCCTCTTGACAACAGGGCAGTATGCATTGAAGTAATCTTCACCTTCAATTTGGGTGAATCCTCGAGCTACCAGTCTTGATTTGTGGCTGGAAATGTTTCCTTCCGTATCAAACTTGGTTTTGTAGATCCACTTGCAGTCTACTACATTTTTGTCTGGAGGTCTCTCCACGATGTCCCAAGCACTGATTTCTATCAGTTTGTTGATTTCTCGGATCATAGCTTGTTCCCAATCCTTTCGGGCTGCACTATTCATTGCTTGGTCAAAGTTTTTGGGATCCTTTACAGTGGCTGCTGAACAGCACCTTCCATCACAGACGTGCCTAACCTTGCGTTGCCTTGTTGATCTTCTGGGTGGTGGAGTGATTGTTCTTTGTTCATCCTCGCTATCATGCAGATCATGCAGGTTGTTCTCTTGATCTTCTCCTCTAGGGTTTTGTTCTTCATCGGAGGTGTTGTCATTATCGGGAATGTTGTCATTATCGGGAATGTTGTCGCCATTTTGGCTGTTTTGATTTCCTTCACCGCCTTCAGAATGCTCGTCACGGCCCTCTTGATGCTCTTCGTTCTCTTCAGTGTCAGAGATTCCAAAGCCTTCTATGAATGAATCTAAACTAACAACGAAGTCCTGTTGTTGTTGTGGGTCTTTCTTCTGCTTGAAAGGGAAAGATTCTTCATAGAACTTGACATCTCGAGACACAATCATCTTTCGTCCCTTTAGAGTGTAGAGTTTGAATCCTTTCTTTCCTCTTTCAACTCCGACAAACACACACTTGACTCCTCGAGCTCCAAGTTTGTTATTTTCATCTGTCGCTGTCCAGGCTTCACATCCAAAAACCTTGATTAATTCTAGGTCTTTCTTGGTTAATTCTCTTCCTAGCCACAGTTCCAAAGGTGTCTTGTTTTGGAGCACTGTCGTGCCACATCTATTTCTCAAGTACGCTGCATAGGTGATGGCTTCAGCCCAGAAGGTTGGTGGCAGACCAGACCTAATGAGCATACATCTCACCATATTCAGTAAGGTAAGGTTCAGACGTTCTGCACGACCATTTTGCTCTGGTGTTCCTGGTATCGAGAATTGTTGTTCTATTCCCCTTTCTTCCAGATAGGCCTTTAATTCTAGGGATATGTATTCCCCGCCATTATCCGACCTTAACACTTTCACTTTCTTCTCCAGTTTCCTTTCATTTCTGCTAATGTATTTCTGGATTTCTGACGAACCATGGCTTTTCTTTCTGATGGGTTTTACTTCTGCGAATCTTGAGTGATCATCCAAAAAGGTGATGACATATTTAGATCTTCCAAGAGATTCTGTGGGCAACGGTCCCATGATATCAGAGTGAACTAGCTCTAGGACTTCTTCTGCATGAGCATCACTTGTTTTGAACGGCTTTTTCTTCAATTTACCCTCTAGGCAAACTTCGCATTTGGTGACATCTTTTCTTGTTTCACAGATATCAGGTAGATTGTTCATGTGCGCAAAACGGTCATGCCACAGTTCTACACTACATCTTCTAGCTACTATGTTTTTGGCACTCTTTTCTTCAATTAATGTCACTTTTCTTCCATTCACCATGAAGTAGTCACACTTTAATTCATACATCTTGGCATGTTCATTCCAGAAACTCTTCATAAACATTTCTTCTCCATCCAGTACCTTCTTCTCACTGTTTTCAGTAACAATCTTAAAGCCTCTCTCTTCCAATCTTCTCTCAGATATTAAAGTACTATCAAGTTCAGGGACTAGATATACTTTCTTCAGGGTTATTTGGTAATCTCCATATTTGTTTCCCAACTTTGCCACGAGAGTTCCTCTTCCAATGACTTTGAGGCTCTGTCCATTGGCTATTTTTACTTTCCCCCCATAACTTCTATCAAGGTCCTCCAAAAGGTCTTCATGCGGAGTCAGATAATCACTGGCTCCTCCATCAATGTATATTGAGTGTTTTTCTGAGTCAGTTACATTTTTACCTGCCATGAGTGCTTTGCTCTTGATGATTTTTGAACTGGCCTTCTTTGCACTGCTCTTTATTTTAGGCTGGTCTACTTCTGTATCACTGGAGCTCTCCCTTTCCGAACTCGTAGTTGATTCATATTCTGCTCTCCTAGCTGTCTTCTTTTTTCCTTGCTTTCCTCTATCATCTTTTCGCCTCCACTCTCTTCTATCTTCTCTTTGATAGTCTCTTCTGTCTTCTCTTTGATGGTCTCTTTTGTCTTCCCTCTGGTAGTCTCTTCTATCTTCTTTTTGATAGTTTTTCCTATCTTCCTTTCGAAGGTTTCTTCTGTCATCTCTTCTGTTGTCACGTTCGTTCTCAAAACGTGGACAGTCACGGGCTATGTGTCCATGTTCATTGCACGCAAAACACAAGATTCTTCTATCCTCACCTCCACTCCTGCGTTCAAAGTTCATCTTCTCAAATCTTGACGTAAGTGCTGATGCTTCATATCGCTTCTCATTCTTGGCTATGCTGCCGTGGCTTGCTCGTCTGTTATCTTCTGCTATGAGTCTAGCCATAACATCTTCTAATTCAATGTTTTCACCTTGATCTATGGTAGTGATGAGTACTTCATATCTTTCAAGTGGCAGTCCACTGATTATAAATCTTGCAATAACCTGGTCACTGAAATCTGCTTTCATGCTCTTCAGTCTTCTATTCAAATGGAAAAATCTGGCAAAATAATCTTGCATGTCTTCATCCTCTTCTTTCTTGATGCTAGTCAACTCTCTCAGTAGTAGTGTTTGGTTGATGGGGCCAGCTCTGGTGTGTAGTTTTTCAAGCTTGTTCCACATAAACTGGGCCACCTTCACATCACCTACATAGTCAATAAGCCTGGATGAAAGAGTAAGTAGAATTAGAGATAAGGCACGGTCATTCTTCTTTGTCTCATCTGGACTTAAAACATCTGTGTCGTCCGGGTCTCCTAGTCTCAGGAATCCAGGCTCCACGGCGTCCAAGCATCCTCGTTGGCGTAGAATAGCCTTCGTTGTTAGCGACCATGAGAAGTAATTGTCCTTCTCGAGTTTTGCAAACTTCTTGACAGCTTCGTCCTCGGCCATCTTGGTTTCTTGTCTCTCTTCTCCACGTGTTGGTACTCGTTTTGGCGAGCGTCCCCTTTTACCGGCGTCTCTCGGTTATCTTCACACTTCTTTGCACTTCTGCGTTCTTCTTATTAACTTCAGCGATTGTTCGAGCGCTTCAGTCTCATAATCTGTTAAGTTTTGTAATTTTTATAGCTTGAGTTCTTCGTAAAGAAAATTAGACTGACCACCGAATGAACTGCTTGAGGCCAACATTTATTTCACACTAAGTCAAATCACATACAGAAAACAAAACACTATCGCCATACACACTTTTGCCAACTTAAATCGGACCAATGTAGCCAACACACAAAAATACAATAATAATTTTAACACCAGACACTGTAGCTCAGAGCGGCTCGAAGCTCAGGGGCAGGTCCTTGGGGATGGTGATGATGAAGGACCTCGGGCAGATCTGGAGCTCGGCGTCCGACGCGGGGGAGTCCGCCGCCAGCGACACGCGGAAGTTGAGGAGGATGTGGCTAAGCGCGGACTTGACGCTCATGTCTGCGAAGCGGAGTCCTGGCGGGGAGACAGAATGTAATGCAACGTCCATTGCTCTGCGGCACTCCCACGCCTCGCCACCAAACTTACCGATGCAGGCCCTGGGCCCGGTCCCGAACGGGAGGAAGGCCAGCTTGTTGATGTTGTCGGCGTTCTCCGGCGCCCACCGCTCCGGGTCGAACTTGTCCGGGTCGGCGTAGTGCTCGGGGTCGCGGTGGATGGAGTACACCGGCACCATGACGACGGTGCCCTTCTCGATCTTGATGTCGCTGTCCGGCAGCACGTAGTCCTGGGTGGCCACGCGGTCCAGCCACGGCATCACCGGCCACAGCCGCAGCGTCTCTGCGAACGGACGCATTACGTTTCATTGAACCTGTTCCCGCCGTCTCCCTTTCTGAGAGTTTGTTCGGAATACTACCTTTCATCACCATGTCGAGGTACTTGGTGTCCTGGCCGGTTTCGTACGAGATCTCCCCGCCGTTGTTGCCGACTGTCTCGCGCAGCTCGGCCCGTAGCTTCTCCTGGCACTCCGGGTGCCGGGCCAGCATCCACAGCGCGAACATGACCGTCGAGGCGGTGGACTCCGAGCCCGCCACTTGCATGGACATGACCTGGGCCTCGAACACGTCGTACGACACCGCTGGAAGCAAGGGGACCGTCAGGCGCGTCGGGAGAGTAGGGAGGGCAAGGTGGGTCTAACACAGCGCGGGCACTCACAGCCATTCTGCTTGAGCGTGAGCAGCTTGTCGAAGATGTCCTTGTTGACGAGCGGGGCCTTCTCGCGCACCTCGCTGGTCTGGAGCAGCAGGTTCCGGATGATGGCGGAGCGCCACTCCTTGAGGAGCGGGTAGCGCAGCACGTGGTACAGGAGCGGCGAGAAGAGCAGCGCGAACGAGGCGAGGCTCTCGGACACCCCGAAGCGGAAGGCCTCGCCCACGGCCTTCATGTAGGGCGAGGGCTCGCGCGTCTTGAGCGCCCCGCCGTCGATGCCGAAGGCGCAACGGGCGATCACGTCCAGGCCGTAGCGCGTGCAGGTGTTGCTAACGGGGATCACGCCGTCTGAAACCACGTGGCCAGGCAAGATTAGCCATCACTCACGATAAGGACCCAGTAATTAGAAGATCAGATCGCGTGGCTCGGTCCGGAACTTACTTTTGTCCCTGTGCTGCTTGATGTTCCTGACGAGGTCCTCGCCCATGGCCTTGACGCTGGGGTACATGGCCTTGAGTTGGCCCGAGGTGAACGCCGAGGTCATTTTCGTGCGCACGTCCTTCCACTGTTCGCCCGGCAGGCAGAACAGGAACTTGCTGAACACCTCGTCGTACTGCGGGGCGGGCGACAGCTTGTGGTTGGGGAAGACGTTGAAGTCCTTGACGAGCATGTTCTTGACGGCCTCCACGCTCCTCACCAGGAGGACGGGGCTGGGGCCGGCGTAGAAGCCGGCGTACGGCTGGCCGGGGAAGTGGCGGTACACGCGGTCCAGCATGCCGAAGAGGGCCTCCCGCTGCAGGATGGAGAGCGTGGCGTTGCCGAACAGCGGCACGGGGGTGAGGTGCGGCACGCCCTTCTTGCGCCAGGTGCCGTAGCGCAGCGTGGAGGCCGCGGCCAGCACCGCCAGCAGCACCAGCACCACCACCAGCAGCGGCAGCAGCAGCGCCATGTCGTCTGGGACAAACCGCGAGACACAATTAAATAAATTCGTCAAATCGACTTGAACTGTATTGATTCCCCAGGGTGCCGCGTGGGAGGTTCGTACTGTAACTGGCACTGCCTCTCGAATGTCTCCTCATCGTACTCACCAGCAAAGATAGGGGCCCTTCTGAGTTGGGTCGCCTCTCGCTACCGCTTTTCTCTCTAGCCTCTTCCAAACCCAGCCGAACCCAAACACTGGCCGGGCTCTAGCGCGGCTCGAGTCTTATTGCGACGTCTCAAGGCCGCCCCCTCCCACCGCAGTTCGTTATCCACGGACCCCCTCTTGTCGGACTCGGTCGAGCAGCGCGAAGGGTAATGCACTCTTCTAATTGGTGCGCTCACTCATTCCTAGCATTTCGGGTGACAGAAATATCGGAGTTTCCTCAATTTTCCCTTCTGATCCCCGGGCTGGTCTTATATGAAATATAACGATATTGCGTTACGCAATGGATCGGAATATGGAGTGGTTGGGTCTCAGTTTTTAAGAGTGCACTCCGCTAGAACTTGTATTCGTTTCATAAATGAGAAGAGTAATAGTATGTCCATTATTCCTAATTTAGTATTCGTATGTGTTTCTTTTACAAATTGTCACAACTCTCGAGACGCTGCCGGCCGCGGCCGCCTCGAGATAGGCAGCCCATTTGACTGCACGTGTTGTTTTCGCGCTGCCTAGCGACCAGCAGCGTGGACCAGCGTGGTTCACGCAACCAGAGCTTCGACCCCACCTCGGCCCGCGTCGCTCGACCCGCAAACACACAAAGTCACTGCAGAACAGCACGGCATTTGTGGATGCTGGCCAATGCTGGCCGCCGCGCCACCGGCGAGCGAGAGCGCGACTGTACACTGTACAGTTTTTTGTTTCGCAGGGTAAGGATGATGGGGCAAAAAGAATAGACCGATTACATGTATCTGAATTATTTTTATTATCTCGCAAGAATCCGCGGACAACTTTCTCACGAGGAGCCAATTTTCTCTAGTCACCACACTGAGAGAAAGAGGGGGTGCCGCTCGATCACGCTTCGAGATTCGGCAAAAAGTTGTGGCTATTTTGCAGTTTCTGAGAATCTTGAACTCACCAACTCACCACCTTACCACCACATCCCTCTCGACATGCTAGGCTAGGGCTAGGAAAGTATTCGGTCCATGTCTTCGTCGGGTTGGTGGCCTTTCTTACCCCACATCCAAAACCAATTCAGGACGGAAAGAAAAGAAATTACGGGATACACCCTGGTCCCGCGTCCAAGCAGAGTCTCGGGGTGTCTAGGACGTCGCGGGGGTGCGGTCGCCGTGGCCGCGCGGTGGGGCCGGTGGCACCGCGGCGGCGAGACACTCGGTCTCGGTGGACGGGCCGTGCTGTGCGTCGGCTCGACCAATGGCAGGCCGCCGGGCATCGCACCACGCGCTCAGGCCACGCTCGACGGCGAAAGGGGAGGGGCGGGGCGCGCGGGGGGCGCGGGGCGAGTGGGTGGCACGCACAAGCGGCCCAAGCGCGCTCACCTGTTTTCGTCTGTTTGGGAACGAGATAGCGGCTGACTCACTTGAACGAGTCGAATGCATAATGCACGCAATGCGCTTCCCGTTTGGGTTCGGGCGGCTCGACAAGCAGGGTCACAGCCCTGCCCTGCCCCTGCCGCCCCGCCCGGAAAAAAAGGTCCCCTCGACCCGGCGTTCTTGGAACACCCGGCCGCCCCTTTTCCCGCCGATAGGTGGGCGGTGCGCCTCGCTTGTTGACTTCTAGTGGCGCGGCTCGGCACGACGCTTCGCTCCGACGCCACCTCCCTTTTGCACCATTCAGCGGGTGGCATCAAATCGCGCCGCCCATGCAAGCTGGCGCGATGCTTGGGCTGCACAGGCTGCACTTTGGGAGTGCGAAAACAACACACTCCGCGCATACTCCGTGTCACCGGGAACTGAATGCAGCAGTCTGACGCTGGGAACGCGGCAGTGCGTCCTGCCGCAGCGGAAGCAAGATTAGATATGGAGGGGGGGGCACTCCAGCCGCGACTGCATCGCGACATTGTCTAATTACCGAGTCGTCTAGACGCCGTCGTCGTCGGTTTATCGGCCGCGCCGTCCGATCCATCGTTCCATCGACCGATCCACTCATGCTTGTTTTTCGCTTCGCTTCCACCGATCGT